CATTAAAGCTTTGGATCCTGACTGTCAGACAAGGAGCTGACGTCCCAGGCACTTTCATCTATTGCGTATTAGCTTAGGTTTCATTCAGCACTGCTGAAAACATAGAGCTAAACTCGATGATCACAGAGCAATTTGGTCAGTTTTTGCCTCTTTTGTACATTCGGTGCACTGTTGTTCATTAAATAGATATCAATGCCTCATTTTGTCATTTTTTCCTCCTCTCCATAAAATTAAAAAGTAGCATTTAAAAAGATGTGCTTTTGAAGAAAAAATGCAGCTGTTGTAACATTTTATGAAAAATATTCCAAGTATGAATAAAATCCAGCTTAAACAAAAAAAAAAGGAAATTCTAGGTGGATTAGTTGACCAACAAACACCTTTAAAAATTTTTTTTTTTTTTAAGCATAAATTACAAAGGCTTGAATTTAATGCAGATTTCCAGATGCAAACAGGATAAAATGACACTAAGACATTTATACTCACTCCCTCAGTAATAGTAGTACAGACAGTGTGCTCCACTGTCTCCAAGGGGCTTAAAGAGGAATCACAGATTCTCATCAACATCCTTTTTTTTCTGCATATTTGATTATTCCTGTGATCAGACATTTTTTAATCTGATCTGTTTCTGTGACCCCAAATGTGTAACTTAGCAGAAGTTTTAGTTTTAGTTTTAGTGGAGTTCATTAGAAGTAGTACTTACTGTGTAAACGCCTCCATGGTGCTTTCTATCCTTTCTCCCGATCCTGAAAATAATCAGAGAACTCATTACCAAATAAGCTTTAACAAAGAAAAAATAGTTATCACTTATTCACCTTCCACATCTACTAACACAGATCTAACTATTACATCATTTGTGGACAGATCTTTCAAAAATACTTAAGCGTCATGAAATTCTCCCCATGCCTTTGATAATTAGATAGAAACCGACTAAATAAAAATATTCTTTAAAATATTTCAACAGAAAAACAATTCAGGATTTCATCAGTTATTCCTCCTTTAGGCAGGACCTGAAATTGGCAGCAAAAACAGAGATCTAAGTCAGTTTTCCTTTAAATAAATGTATTTCCCCTTGATCACAGGAGGTTAGTAAGACAATTTAGCACTAGAATAAGATAATTTACATTTAAAAAAGCAAAAAACTACTACATTGCCTTATTTAAGGTGAATAATATCTACTTATGCTATGTTAGGGGTAAAAAAAAAATACTTGTACCATTGGTAAATCATACCTGTGCAGGTTAAGAGTAAATGCACTTTTTAAAAGAGGTTTTAACCTGTTGTTGGATCCGTTTTTGCAGTGTAAAGGTGAGCTATGCATCTCACAGCTGGATCATGGATCCAGAGCCACCTCTTTTCTCCTGCTTACCTCCTCGGTGTGAAATGTGAGTGCAGTAGAAAGCAGGTTGTTTCCTCTTGTGGAGATGGTGTGGGTTCTTCAGCAGGTACCGGGAGACTAGTGCATAAATGGCCAATGGAGGCAACCCCAAGTACAGAAACATGCTCATCCTTTCCCTTTAAGATCAGCTCTCTGAAAGTTCTCAAACCTGAAGATAGATATCTCCTTATGTAGCCACTAATAACCACACCAGCTCTTGCTGCGAGTGATCAGAAGTGAAAGAACTGAGGAGAGATATGGTGCAGCTGCCTGTTAAAATATAAGAGGGAAAAACTGGACAGACTGGTAAGACTGAACAAATATCTTCCACTTTTATCTCACACCAATATGTCAAAGTTTGTCCTGATTTCTGATGAAAACAGCCCTAAGCAGGGCTGTAAACATTGGTTAATGAAGCACCAGCTTGTTATCCATTGGCCTCTCCTCCTCCAATTGCAACATTTGACCCTCTGGGAGGGAAGGGCGGAGTGTGTCATACTTTCCAGGTTTTCTTTTATTCTGCCTCACCATTGACAAACCACCACTATGATCACACCTACCTCGAGAGGACCTCATCCTGCAAAGCTGGCAAGACTATCTGAAGCAGGATTCCATTAATTTATCAGAAAAGCGGCAGATTTCTTTGTATTTATTTAGGAGTCATGAGCTCTTAAATGTCATTCTAGAAAAAAAAAAAAAAAAACTAAATGCAAAGACTACAAAGTCAGCAGAGAGCAGTATATTGTTCGGCTTCAATGCAAAAAACAATGCAGGGGTGCAACAACTGCAGCGACCTGGTGACAGCCAGAACAGAGGAAGGCATTCACTGCAGGACGACCTGGATATCCAGCATTGTCTCAAATATGCAGACGCATGCTTTTGACATGAACCCCCCCGCATAACACAATATAGCTGTTAGTCTTAAAGAATGTCAGAGAGGGAGCAGCCGTGCCGAGACACGCTACAAGGAAAAGATAAATTCCCACGACTCATGCTGCACCATGGAGGGGCGGTTTATAAAAACACCTGAGGCAGAGGTTGCCGTTTGGGCATGTGAAAATAGATTGCTAAAATGAAAACTAACAGATAACAGATGTCTATGCCTTTGGAGAGACAAAAAAAATTCAGCTTCAAGAGGAGAATCCAAATCAGCATCGTCTGGATGTAATCTACCATGAGTAAAAAAAATGTAAATATTAAATTAGAAGTAATTAAATCTAAAATCAATGCTGTACGATCATTTAGCCCCTTATAAAAACCAGACAGGTGAGAAAATTCCTTCATTTGTTCAAATTTCTGATTGGTTCTTGTACTCTGATCACACTATGAATATCTGCTTCCATTCAGCACATGGATCATAGGCTGCCCTCCACTTAAACTGCTTTATTCGCCTCCATCTTCATGACTTTTGTGGGTTTGGACAGCAAAGCATGTCCTGTTGAATGGATGGGGGCATCAAGTGTTGCTTTTTTAAATATTTTATCCTACTTCCTGCTGTCAGGCAGGCTCTAATTAAGTAATTTCTTCATTTAACGGGGTGGTTATGAGTCCTGGGTGATGCTGCTGAAATTGAAATGAACGCAGGTTATCTTTGATCATTAAATCTACTTGAGGATCTAAAATATTCCAGGTTTATCACAATAATGTTTTTTGTCTTTTTTTAAGTCCTGCATTTAAGGAAAAAAAAGAAACAATCTGATCATCGCAGTAACTGGATGTTGTCTTCCTGGCTTAGCTGTTCAATAACAGAGTACAAAAAAAAAACTGACGAGAAGAAAGGGTCATGACGCAGGTTTAACAGCATGATGAAATTTTATTTAATTACATGTATATAAGTCTGCTTCTGTTAATCATTTAATTAATATTTCCCATAGCATATACAGACTAGAACTCTCAGTAACTCGTCTCTCCTTGACAATCTCAGTAAAACATCTTAAAATAAATCCTTAAACAATCTGGTTGGGCAAATGAAAAGACAAAAAGTCTACGCTTCAAAAAGATTGAAAACACTTTCAATAATAATAATAATAATAATAATAACAGCAATAAGAGAAACACAAAAAAATTTTACCTCCCTTTTATTTAAAAAAAAAGGAGAAAAAAAGCCTATCACCAATAAAATAGCATTAATAATAAGAACAAAGCAAACAGGCTTTAAGACAGGCAGGCCTTTAAAGTCGATCATTATTCCAAAGTAAGAAGTTTGGTCAGGTGGCATGTAACAGGGAGGATATGGTAAAAAAAAAAAAAAAAAAGTTAGGAGGCCTGTGTGTGCAACACTGAGAATTTATCAGGAGGATAAAAAAAAAAACGAACAGGGGATGATGATCCAGACAGACACAAACGGGTGAGTCTGGGCTCAACAGTGCAGATCCACAAACAGTCTTCACAGCAAGGGGACGACGACGGAGGGTGCATGGCTTGAAAGACAAAGTGCAGACGTGCTGATTGGGTTGGGATTGGACTGAGCGTTCAGGGGGACCAAGGGGAAACAGCTTCTGACAACAAGCAAGGAGGCAGCCCTTTGAGTAAAGCATGACGAGACACTTTGGAGGAAAATGGCAAAAACATAAAAGGATCCAGAGGAAAAAAAAAACAATCCTAGATTGCTGCTTATGGCTTCAGGAGAACAGCAACTCACATCAAGGTTAAAAACACAAGATCAAGCCAAGGGAGACCTGCACCACAGGCCATCCAGTGCAGTTTTGGTCCCTTTCTTCTTTTTTCCTAACGGGTCTCAGCAAAAACCAAGCAAATGGTGCCGATTTCTCTGGACTCATGAACATTTGCCACAAAGCAGTGGATCCAAACGGACAGGGAGGGTGAGGAGAGCTGAAGATGCATGGAGAGAGTTTCAGAGAGAGAAGGGACCAGAAATAAGCGCTCTCCATCAGGCAGATATGAGGAAGCAATAGGGCCTTGTTCATATGCAGCAAAAAAAAAAACCAAAAAAAAAAACACAGAATGATGAAGACTGGCAGTGCAAAGACAAAAAACAAAATTGAAATTTCTTGGCAATTACCAATGGGTTTGGCATGTAGCGGCAGGGAGAAATCACCGCCGTCACATTAACAGCCAAGTGTTCCCAGCATGCATTGTGTTGTGCAAAAATGCACCGTTCAATAAGAAAACACTGTTTCACTCAGGCTTTGAGGTAACAGGTAGGAGGCTCAAAGCTGCAAAAAGCATAAATAAAGAAATAAATAAAGCAATGAAAAAAGAAGCAGAATGTGTTTGTTTTTAAACATGAAAGAGTGAATCTTATTAATGAATGCTTCAGTTGGCTGTGACAATAATCACTGGAGGAATGTTATATGGGGGAGGAAAAAAAAGAAAAGGAAAAAAAAAAGGGTTAGAGGTACAGTCATGCATGTCCCTGGTGGGTTGGGTTTGTTTCCTGCTGCTTGGGTGCAGCTAGAAAAAAATGCAACTAAACAAGAACTTGAAAGCAAAAAGACGGAGGAGCTTATCTTTTCCGACAAAAGGGACTTTGGTATCACAGCTGCAGTATATCAAGAAGCCATCTTTTCCTAGTCTTTATTCCATCCAATGTGCTTCATGCTGCAAATCCACGTTGGAGCCGTCAGTGTGCTTTGTCTTGGGGCGATTTGTGCATAATTTTTTTTTTTTTTGTTTGTTTGTTTTTCTCCCCTATAGGGTCAGTTTCAGGAACGCATGCATTCAACTGGGTTTCCATAACAATAAAAGGAGCAACGGTAAAGAAAACTTGCCAACATGCCACTAAAAACATCAACTCATTGTCTGAAATAAAAAGAAAAACAACAAAAAAAAAAGACTGTAAAACACACACACACACACCAAGTCTGAACCAAATACATCTTCACCCACAAAAACAGGACAAACACATTTAAGAAAAAAAGAAAAAAAATCCAATATACTCTGTATTTACATGCACACACCTAGCTAGCATCCCTAACCCTGCTGTTTAACCCTTTAAATATTCCAAGCTGTAGCTCCATCCAGATTAAGAGCATTATGGAAGGATGGACTGGAGGAAGTGGGGAGGGGGGGTCGATGAGGAGAAAAAGGTGCCAGAAAAGCCAAATGTGTTAAAAATGGGCATAAAAACAATGAAATATGTGAGATGAGTGAAGAATTTGACGAAAACAAACTAAAAACCGTACCGGTTTAACAGGATAACCCCCCTCCCAATAACAGCTCTTTATACTTAGCTCCATCCTGCTGTAGAAATGCAAAGATAAGCAGGGAAATGTTTATAGTTGGGGTTTTCACTTTTTCGTTGAGGATGCATTTTTCGTCTGTTTAAGCGGTTCGTTCAATCTTCTGGCTCCAAGCCTCGCTACAAAAAAACCCCAAAAAAACAGAAGAAATAAATAAATAAATAAATAATCAAAAACATGAAACATTATCCAACTTCAAATGTAAATCCAATTGAAGTTAGCTTGTTAGTTCATGACATCTAAAAGGAACTGGTTCTAGTGGGATTTTATTTAGGGGTATCTGAGGGAAGCTGGCGTTTCATTCGATGAGAATGTACCTTTACCTCAGCTGGTCGGTCTGATCGTCTGGAAACGAGCCGTCTCTTCAAAGATCATCTGCTTCAGCTTCTCCTTGGGCAGGTCGTCCAGTTCCGTTCTAAAATCAAAGGGCTCGTCCGCGATGGGCTAACACCAGAACACAAAGAGCTTTAATGGCAGCGTCATGACATTAAATCCTTTGATTCATTGTACCGATTTTAAAGTATGCAAAAGGTTAAAGTACAGAGAATTTCAAGAAAAAAAAGGAAATCATGATTAAACAATGCAGCTAGTATGAAAAGGTGTATAGCTGTCGCAATATTCCATTAATCTGCCATAAGCTGACCTGCTGATCAAACTAAACAGTCAATGCACAGCTAAGAGGCTTCCAAGGACAAAGCCCTGAAGCTTACAGTGAAATCCAGATCCTTGGGAGAAAATTGCTGCATAGCTAAAGACTGAAACGCACTTTTTTGGCACAAAACGAGCCTTTGGAATCACGCTTCTCTAACATGGAAAAGCACCAGCATGAGTGGCTGGTAGTGTCTGGAACCGCAGGGGGCGACAGAACAAAAACAAACGATTACTTCGGCCTCCAAACTCCAATCACCATAGAAACCTTTAAAATAGGAAGCCGCGCCGAAGCTGTAGAATTAATTATCTCTACTTTCACCATTAGTGATCATATCAGCATGTCATAAAAGGTCAACATATGCCCTATGCTGAACTTATTCCCCCTCAGTTGCCTTCGATAGACCACAGAACACCTTGCTTTTATCAAAGGGACGCAGTCTCACCTCGTCGGTTGGATCGTAGTACTGCTCCAGGTATGGATGAGCTAGAGCTTCCTCCACAGTGATGCGGTTGTTGGGGTTAAACGTCAACATGCGATGCAACAGGTCCAAGGCTTTAAAGAAGAATAAAGACTCTGTTAGCCAGCCTGTCCTCTGCGTTTACTCCAACAAACTAATAAAAAAAATTACATCCGTTCATGATAAAGAACATTATGGTTTATCCAGACATTTCTCTCTTCTATCTCCTTAAAAGAAATCTTACAAATGTTGAATAAACACAGCTTCAAATAATAATCTATATTTAAATGCAAGGCCTCGTTTTTTTTTTCTTCAAAATTGAACCTGACTGATGCATTCATTAAAAAAATTATCTTTAAATGTGAATTTTACATTAATTCTGGAATCAATATATGAAAATACACAATAATGCATGCATATATATATAATATATTTATTTTTGTTTCATATCTGTTCAAACAGTATTAAGATAAAGATTTGCTAATCTGCATTTAGCATAACATAAAATAAAACTCCAGATGTTCTTTTAAACTTCACCCTGTGCAGAAAGCTTTGTCACTCTAAATAGCTAAATAGATCCACAAAGCAGAATGGGATGCCATGCAGAGGATAGTGAGGGGAGCCTAAAGTTTGTTTGATGAAAGCAATATACACAGAATGAATCTCCGATTGTAAACGGCTGCATGTAAAGTTGAAGTCTGCAGATTCATGGATGCCTTTAAACAGGCCGCAGTTTCATTACTCTGATGTACTTTCCCTCCTTTTCCAAACCTTGAACAATATCTCTAACAGCTGCTGTGTGTCATTTCACCTTTTGGGTCTGCTTTGGGGAAGAGCGTGTCCCAGGGAAGTCTGGGTTTGTGCGGCAGGGAAAGCAGGTAGTTCCGAGCCTTCACGTTAATGATGCAGTTCAGATCTTCCTGGGTTGGTGAGCCGAGTATGCCTGCACACAAATGGTTGAGGCTGATTATCTGCTTTTTTGTTGTTGTTGTTGTTGTTCTCCCCTAGTAAGGCTACAAGGAAAACTTTTATTTTCGTTTTTTTAAGATCTCACCCAATATATGGTTCAATTGGTCCAAGTAGTGTTTCCCAGGGAAGATGGGTTTGTTGGTCAACATCTCAGCCAGAATGCAGCCCACAGACCAGATGTCAATGGACTTGGAGTAGCCCTGAAAAAAAACAAAAACATTCACGGATCATTATGTGGATGTACCATGAAATATTCAAGCCGTAAAAACACAAAAAGTGTCTTTCACCCCTTACCTTTGAGTTGAGCATAATTTCTGGGGCTCTGTACCAACGCGTGGCTACGTACTCGGTGAGGAAGCCGGTGTGGTCGTGCACCGGATCGGCTATCCGAGCCAGCCCGAAGTCACAGATCTGAGAAAGGCAGCAGGGGTTAAAACCAATCCAACTGGAGCCAGAAGATCCACATTTCAGATCTGCCTCTAAAGTCTAAACAAGTTCACAGAATAATGTGCGGGAAATCCAGCGATTGATAACATGCCTGGCATCGATTAGAGCTTAAATCAGTCAACAAGCTGGTTTATTTTTCATTATTATTTACTGTGAAGGTTAATTGTCTCTAAATTGTACCTTTTTTCAGAGCTCTATGCAGATCACAGCCAGTAAAACATGCTCACCATGGGCACTAATGTTTAATCGTCATCATTTCACCCGTTTTGATTTGTGCTGAAAGCGCTGCCTTCGTTTTCCTTCCTTCACTTCATGATCAGCTAATCAAGCACTACACTGCAAACCCTGATAGGTTCTTTTCAGAAAATAAAAACAAGACTTGAGACGAGGCTGTAAAATTACTTAGATCTTTAACCTTTTATAGGGTAAGTTACAGTTTTTGATCACTTGCATAGCCCTTAGAAATGGAGTCCCCCCATCCCTCCTAACACCTAAAGCCATGTTGTTGCAGTATCTTTGCTGAATGGCTGGATATAAATGTAGACCAGGGGTCGGCAACCCGCCGCTCTTTAGTGTTCCCCTTTCGGCTCCCTGGAGCTTTTTAAAAAATTTCTGAAAATCGAGTTGTTTTTTTTCTTTTGTTTTAATATGGTGTGCAGGAGGTCAAACAAAAAATAATTATGTTTTCCAATAAATAAATTTAAATAATAATTTGCGTCATAGCCATAGAGATCAGTGGTCATAACTTGCAACCAGCGCTGCGCAGTGCCAGGCAAACAAAGCTGCTGGAGTGTCTTGGACCATGGATCCCAAAGGGGAAAAAAGGAAGATAGCTGATGAGAAAAGAGGATTCAAAGGATGGACCGAATCATTTTCTTTCATTATCAATGCGGAACGATTGCCTGCATTTTTGCTTGGTAATGAGAGGTTGGCAAAAAATAAAAATTTGGAAAGGCATTTCCAGGGAAGGCAGGCTAAATATGCAGCCAACAACCAAGCTGGGAGGGAGAGAAAAATGGTGATTGCAGAACTTCTGGATAAATTAGAGGAGAGCAAATTTAGATTTAAGAAGTGGATTACATCGCCAAACTCCACTACTGCTGCTAGTTTTGTTGCAAGGATGGAAAACCGTCCACAAATCGAACAGGTAGAGCTCTGATGCAGGGATGGGAACTTTCTTCCATTTTCTCCCCAAATCCTAAAAATATAAATCACACCAAGGAACGCTGGGATGGGGGATTTCAGGGTTAGAGAGCTCTGCTCTGATGGAAGTCAGTTCCTGCTTGGTTCCTCATGACTCAATCAACTCCTCCCAACAGAATCACGTCCACCATAGAGAGATTCCTTGATCCTGTTTCTATAATTTCATCAATGCAACAAAACCTGTGTTATTTTTGCATTTAACAAATTAGATGAGCCCTTGAATGATTTATCATCTACTGTAAATTAAGTTAAAAAAAAGGTTACTAAGTTAAAAAAAAATGTTAAAAGCTAAACGAAAAGTCAAAAAGTAAAAGTTAAAAATTTAATAAGCTAAATTTAAAAATTAAAAATATCAGCATTAATGTATCTAAGGTTATGTTGTAACAAAAAAAAAAAATTGTTTAACTTTGAGTGTTTTCATGAATTTCTTATAGAACCACTTTTGTTATTATATAACAAATTATTATTACATAAGGCCATATAAGGCAAGTTTGCCATAAAATATTTGCCATTAAAATATATATATATTTTTTGAACGTTACTAAAGTAATAAAAGGTCCTGTCCCCCAATAAAACTCTTGGCTTGAAATTTTGATTTTCAAAGTATTTCAATTTAGCATAAAACAAACAATCTACCTCAGCTTAATAAAAGTCTTGCTTTTTTTGTACAAACTATAAAACTTAATGGACTTTATGCAATAAATTAATCAAAAAATATCCCGTAATGCTGAGATGGAAGAAGAAAAAAAAAGGACATTTTGTTTTGTTACTTTGTTAGTAAAAATGTGTGTGGCAGGCATTTGTTTTGATCCCCTTCAACTGACGTTAAGGAGCAGCTGACTGGCAGCTTCTATTAAGGTCTCCATGTTGTGTCTTTCTAGTGATTAGAGAGTCAGTCACTGATACGAGATAAATGAAAATCCAGCAGTTTGGTTCAGTATAACGAGACAGGAAACGCACTACTGAATCGATTCATGACAGAAAAATTAACCGTGTTCTTCACGTCACATCGCAATATTCCAGTGAAGTATGATTATGATGATGGCAGCGTCATGCGGTGGGGATGGGTTAAAAAGTTCGTCATTTGAAGCCACACAATCATTTTAGAAACAAACATGGAAACCACCTGTACATGTTGGTTTCTGCTAAAACGGAAAAGTCAGACAAAAAAAAAAGGGAAATGTAACACTTTTACAACTTATGAAACTATAAGGTATTTAAAAAATAGCATCTGGCCAAGAGCTAAAAGCAGCTGTCACCTACTGGGAGCATTTGGATTCAGAGCAGCTGATCAAGCCTATGAAAAGGCCATGAGGGACTGAGGCTGCCAACGTATAATTCGTATAATTCTCACCTTGAGGTCACAGGTGGTGTTGATGAGCAGGTTGGAGGGCTTCAGGTCGCGGTGCAACACGTTGGCAGAGTGAATGTACTTGAGCCCCCTCAGGATCTGGTAGAGGAAGTAGCAGACATGGTCGTTGCTCAGCCGCTGGGTCTTCAAGAGCTTGTACAAGTCTGTCTCCATCAGTGTCTGCACGATGTAGCTGGGCAGATTCTGGGGTCAAGGCGCACAACCCTTTTCTTCTAAATTCATTCCACTCTAAACCAACTTGCACCTTTTCGTCTCTTAGTGAAAGCATTGAAACAGCGTCATTTTTAGAAGCAATGTGAAACATGTTTCGCAATGAGCGTGTTCCTCTAACCCGACTGTGGTGAACCATGAAAAAAGCCACACAGAGAAAGAATAACAGACTGTACAGACATAGAAACGAAACAACCTGACCTTTCCTCTGGATCCACAAGGAATTGAAATAAAACTAAACAGTGTAATGTTTAGCATTGCTCCTTAAATCCATGTAAAACAGCGTATTAAACAAAAGTTTAGATCATTGTTACATAAACGTTACGCCCAAAGTCTTCAACTGATGCTTGAAAGCTGCATGCATTGCTTTAAAAAAAGAACTATTAGGGCTGCAGAACATGTTGCTAACCTTACTGCATTATTACTAAAACAGCAGACCTGCACAGTCTGTGTTATATGCTCGCTAATTGCACACAATCAGTATCCTACTTTAATATTTCCCAGTTAAACCGGGCCGTTGACAAATTTCTGATGATTTTTGTAGCCGTTAAGCAATGAACCCAAAGCAGACAGGAGGTACTGATGGGAAGCACTCATTCCACAGGATTATTTTTCATGCAGCCCTAGTAATACTGTAGATTAGAATTACCTTAGCTACAGATGCAGACACTTGTCTGGTAAAGGTCCTGATAAATCTTTAAAATAGAACATTACTGAACTACAGCTATGTTTCTGTGGGGAATACATCCGATGTTACACAAATGAGCCTTTCATTGTTTGATGAGGACCTATATTTATAGGAATCATTCCAGATGAAGCAGATTCATTGTTAAATCCAGATTAGGACGTGTGATGCTGAGGAGAGATTTCAAAATTAAATTCGGACAGATTCTCCTGAAAAAAAAAAAAAAAAACCTGTAAAAATTAAACTTCCTTCATGAATATCTCTGACCTAAATCTAGTAGAAACCTTGCAGTGTCAGCAGCTAACTCTGACGTTACAGAAGGGCAAATAATGTCCCATTTAGCAAACCGCATTGAATACGAACAGCCCAGGAATCATAAAAGCCAAATCTATCTGACTCAAATCATCATTGTGAGATCATGCTCAGTTACATTTATTTTAGTGCTTCCTCTGCATATTCGCCCAAAAGTGCTGATAAATGTGGCTACCGATATTTTGAAAGATGAAGTTGAGTGTTTTCACTCTGAACGTGCCCCAAAAAGCATGGCAACCAGAAAGGGAGGAGCTATTCTTTGAAAAAAAAAAAAAGAAAAGAAATCGACCTTCCTAGATTGAAAGGCTGCCATAGCAACTAGAGAGGTAAAATATCCACTCCAGTTGTCTGCATTGATACAACACGGGTGTTTATAGCAACCGCTTTGTTGATAAGAAGCGTATCGTTAGATCTCAGCAGCTGGAAATGAACCCGTCTGTATTTCCTCTCATTCACAAACTCCTCTAAAGGTGCAACACCGCTCGACTAAAGCAAAGGAAACAATGAAGCTTTTTTTGATAAAAAGCGACTCTTGGTGAGAGCAGCTCGCCGGCGGGCTGAGCTCAGCCATCAATGACAAACTAGTGATGTGTTAGAGTAACCCTGGACATTTATCAATTAATTTTCATCCACACCCGTTTTAGTTTTGCTAAACTTTTAGCTGTGATGATGAAATAGTGTTGAAACTGGCCAGGCTGAGGGTTTAAAGTATTATTTATTTTTTTCAGACATGACTTGTTTAGCGACTTTCACTTAAATTAATTTTATGAAAACTGTATTAATCAAAATCAGTGTTGTTTTTTTGTAATCACCAAAGCTATAACTGTCAAACTAGAATTAGAAAAACATTTTCGTTAAGTAAAATAGAAATAAGAAATCCAACTGAAACTGTAATAAGTTTTAAAAACGAATGACAGCAACTGAAGTTCAATTGAGAATGTGTTCATTTGCTTATCTTTATGATAATGCATTAATATGAGGTCTGGTTTCCTGGTTGCTGTGATGGCAGGTAGGGCATTCAGGTGATCTGTGTTGCTGCAGCAGTCGCTCCTTATTTGTTTTTTTGTCTACCCCTGTATGTTAGCGGCATTACTCTACATAAAAGATTAAAAACATAACTGAAACTGATAAAAAACTTACTTGAAATGGAGCTTTTTCAAAAATAACCTAAACTAAACCATCTAAAAAACACAGCTAAATTACAACTAAAATAAGATTGAAAATCAGGAGTCGAAACTAAATAAAATCTAATGAAAATGTATAAATGTTTTAAAACCTTGGTTATTATTCCTAAAACTAATATTTAAGGTCTTACATTTGCAGAAAACTCGAGAACCTAAAAGAAGATCACCAGTTTTCGCCTCACTTTAGGGATTTTTCAAACATCTGCATTGAAAATAAAAAGTTAAAGTATCCTATGGACAGGTTAATATACAGAAATGTAATTTTTGCATAATAGGGTGGAGAAAGGGGGATGTAAACTGTAACACACTAAAAATATTGGGAGCCTCATAAAAGGATAAAAAGATTTATAGTTTACTGGCAAGATATATAAGAAGAGGAAAAGTACAACTAATTAGATGCATTTTGGGATATTTTATGCATGTTATACATCAAAACAGCACTTTTTAATGTATTAGGTACCTACCTAGTGACTGCGATCCTAAAAGTTCTGGCAAAGTGTTTTTTTTTTTGCAGCCTTTTTTTATTGTCATTACACTGTCACAAGTACAGAGTAACTAAATTAACTCTCTGTGTTTAACCCATCCCCTTTGGGAGCAGTGGGCTGCCATTGTGCGGCGCTCCCGGGGAGCAGTGTCGATTTAAGGGTTTTTTTCCTCAGGAACCCATAGTGGAGGCTGTGGGGATTGAACCGGTTACTTGCAACTTTCTGCTCTAACTACTAGGCCATCACTCCCCCCATCAATGTTGGGTGTTTGCAGGATGCTCCAGCCCTGGTTCAGATACAGTAGTCTGATTTAGTGGGGCCATTTTTATGTGCAACGAGTAGAAAACCAAATGAGGGGATCCCCCCTAAAGGCTGACCTCAGTTACTTTCACTTTCTGTGCCACCATCATTTTAACCTCAAAGAAAAAAAAAACCCTCCAAACTGATCAACTGCCTGCTATTCAGCTCCATTTGAGTCATTTACATTCAATATAACTCCTAACAGAGCGCATTTTATAACGCATTTCTGTTTTAACTTCCTCGGGGGAAAAATGTCCTGTTAGAGTTTGACGGGGTCGGAAGGGGCGGATAAACCTGCCTAACTGACAGATCTAGAACTGATCCATCCTGTTTAACCTCGTCGGAAGGCTCACACCACCTGAAATAAATTGGACTGGAGCAGAGGTGCAAAACAATGAAACAGCATAACCTGCTGCAATGAATTGTGGGAGCGCGGGGCTCTCAGCACAACTCCTTTTCAGGTTATTAAATGTAGCAAGAACAGATGATAAAACTAACACAGGGAGCCACAAACAAACAATAAAATTGCCTAACTTTGACAGGGACAGGCCTTCGCTGTCTCGGCTGAAGGATTCCCTTCAGTTCACCTTGAAATTAGAAAAACTCGGACAATCTTAGGATACACATCTCTCATGTTTTCCAGCTGCTGCGCCCGGATGATGTCATTGATCCCGATGATGTTCTCGTGCTTGAAGCGCAGCAGGATCTTAATCTCCCTCAGCGTACGCTGGCAGTATGTCTGGTGTTCAAACGGGCTGATTTTCTTGATGGCCACTCTGCGTTGGGTCCAGTTGTCCAGGGCTGCACTGGATATGGTGAAAGCAGGGACAAAACCAGGCGTGGCATTACACACTGCACAATTTACACACAAATCAAATGTCTGCAGCAGGAGCTGAGAAGATGCATAGCTCAGATTTCTTTGTAAACAGGCATTATAGAGAGCTGTAGAAAGGTGTGGTGTGCAACGTGCGTGACATGCTGTGAGAGAGTAAGCTTTATCTATGTGCTACTTCCTTTGTTAGGGTTATAGAAGTTGCGTTTTGCATTACACTTTGCAAGAGAAAAGATATTACAGCATAGCTCTGCTATCTGCAAAAAACACCCAACTGCATATTTCACTAATTCAGTTGACAGAAATTGGACAATTTATCGACGATAAATGATTTGCAGGTCAAATATTACAAAAATCGACTTCATTTCAGCTATGCATTGAAGGCAAAACAGCTGAGAGTTCAATTCATTTCCTGTATATAAAAGCATCAAAAAAGTGCTTTGCCACACCTTTGTTTGTGGTTAGATTAAAAAAGAAGTTCGATGGGAGCAATCTGCAAACTTTACCTAATGTTCAGACTGCTTCACATACATGAGGTTAGATGGTTTTTCGCTTCACAGTAGACACCGCACCAATCCGCCTATCAATCTCTTGCTCCATCTTTCCCTCATTCATGAACAAGACCCCAAGATACTTAAACTCCTCCACTAGGGGCAGTACATCCTCCCCAACCCGGAGAAGGCACTCTAACCTTTTCCAGCTTAAGACCATGGTCTCGGATTTTAGAGGCACTGATCCTCATCCCGGCCGCAAACCGCTCCAGTGAGAGCAGGATTCCCCCAAGGGACATGGTTGACCGCCTTCTCCAGATCCACAAAACACATGTACACTGGTTGGGCAAACTCCCACGCACCCTCCAGGATCCTGCTGAGGGTGTAGAGCTGATCCAGTGTTCCAAGGCCAGGAGGGAAAACCACACTGCTGCTCCTGAATCCAAGTTTCGACTGTCCGTTTTCAGGACCCCAGAATAGACTTTACCAGGGAGACTAAAGAGTGTGATTCCCCTGTTTTTGGAACACACTCTCAGAGCCCCAGGCTCTGCTTTCTCAGTGGATGATCTGTTGCTGGGAGTAAGGACGTCTTCGAAGTACTCCGCCCGCCAACACACAATGTCTAGAGTCGAGGTCAGCAGCACACCACCCCCACTATAAATGGTGTTGGTACTGTGCTGCTTCCCCCTCCTTAAACGCCGGATCGTGGACCAGAATCGCTTCAAAGCCCTAGGGAAGTCTTTCTCCATGGCCGGACTTCCGCCGGGCAGAGTTGATGAATTTGAGATATATCAACCAAAACTCCTAATGCACCATAATCAATTCAGTTTATTTATATAGTGCCAATACACAACACATGTCATCTGAAGGCACTTTACAGTTCACCAGATCATCCAGTCAAATTGACTCAAAGTTTTCTATCTAAGGAAAACCAGCTAATTGCATTGACTCATTGACTCTTCAGCAATCCCTCACACTAAGCATGCTTGTAGCGACAGTGGAGAGGAAAACTCCCTTTTAACAGGAAGAAACCTCCAGCAGAAGCAGTCTCAGTGTGAGTGGCATCTGCCAAGGCTGACTGGGGTTCAAGGAGACAGAAGCAATCCTCATCAAGTAGAAGAAAATAACACACCTGTTCAGCCCTACCTCTATTCACTTAACCGATTAAGTTATTTAAATAAAAAAATAATTGCAGCTCAGTCCTAAAACCTAAAACCATTAATTGGTATCATTTCCAGGGGGAAATGTTATTTCTATTTTTGCACACCAGCTGATCCTCCTCCACTGAACCAAACAGTTTGCAATGTTTACAAACACCAACTGCAGGTATGGAGGCATCACATGCAGGAGATCATGCAAGCAAAACAGGGAACCAGATAGTGAGACATGCTGATATTAATGTTCCAGTGGTGGGAGCAGAAGGTCCAGCTCACACACACAGAGATGCAGATCACATATGGTGATACCAGGAGGCAAAGGCCTTATTAAATCCAACAAATCCTTCCTGCGAGCTACAGCTTCTTCCTGCAGACCGATGAGAAGTTCAGAGTCTAAAAGCTGTGGTCCACTCAGCCTTTACAGCACTTCTGAGGCTAAGTGCAGTTTGCAGACAGA